ACTGGCACTTGTTCTGAGAGGCAAAAAGGGCAATGTAGCTTCGCTGTTTGATAGCAATTTTAATATAAGCATTGATAAGCGCTCAGCTGTTTAATCTCAATCCCAACCAATCACAAGAAAGAATAATGCAATCGCTGCAATAGACACCAACTCGACCCAGCCAGCGCGAGGGTGCAGAACAGTCTGGGGATTTGATGTACAACATTCCCCATTCAACATTAGTTTTTTGAAGTCCATGTTTTGCCCTGTACGTTTCCATGGGGGAACAGTAATAAAAATACATGCCACAGAAATGAAGATGGTTAATGGTTAAAAGAAAAATAAATGTGCTACACAACTATGGTCATGTCGCACTATAGTAAAGGGAAGTGAATGGTTGAGTTAGTGATTGTCAAAGCTAGGCAATATCAGTGTGTATGTTGCTCTGATTACTCTGATAAACGTACTTGATAGAAAATTACTTCATTTCATTGAAATTTGATTTAATATTAGGATTTTTCTGACCATTAGATACTGGACTATTTCATCAGGTTCAAGGAAAATAACAAATGAATTCATATAAAAATGTATTGTACAATCCTTAAAGCTAGGTACACATTAATTACACAAGATTAATTAACATAAACAGGATGTTTTTTTTCTCTCTTTATAAACTGATGACATGATTTGTACAGTGGATGAATTGGTAAAACCATAATTGCTAGTAAACCCAAAAAAAATGGTCCTTCACATACGATAGAGAAACACATTTATGAAATACACTTTCCATGCACAGGTTACATCAAAATAAAATTTGTACATAAAGAAAATACAACTTGGGGAAAGAAAAGACTGGAGGGGACATCTGTGAACATGTATGCTTGAATCTCTAATTTTTTGCCGAGCTACCAAAGGAGATAGGCAGAGACACTTAGAATTTTCGTAAAATACACTCACACTTTGTAGATGAATAGCTAGCCTAGTACTGGCTAGATATGGGACAGGTTGATAGATTAAAACACAAATGAATACAGAGTACAAATGCAGACCAGTCCTTGCTGAATCTTCCACATGTATCCTCCTCGTATTTGGCTTGGTGAGTGTTCAGGCAGAAGCACACCTTGCCACTCTCAGAACAACAGGTGTTTTCAATGCCATTAGAACACCAACTTGAACCCCTAATCTTCCCATCTCCTCAAGAAGATGAATCATTTGTACTCAACACTCATAACAATCACTCCCTCCACGGACTCCTTGCCATGTTCAAAAGCTATCCTTTTCCATCATTTATTCAGCACAAGCTTCTTTCACTTGCTCTTGCTGAGGGACCAGAGCTGTGTTCATATTGACGGGGTGGAAATTCTCCCTTTGCTGCCCTTTCAAGAATATTGAATTCCTTGAAAACGGAAACCTGATAGAAATGAAGTATTTCATGAGAGCTGTATCATACTCAACCACGTGAAATGCAACCCAACACCTATTGCTCAATCTTGACAATATATTCAAGTTCCAAAACTGAAGCACTGAATGAATAATGTAAAGAATATCTATCTTAAAATTAGTTGATTCTGCAGTTTACCGTTTTTGTAAAGCTAACTGTGAACAACTGAAAATGAGACAAGTAGGGAGACGCCTGACGTGTTTGGCCGCCTGAGCCAAGAGGACAAAGTGCTCCTGAACAGAAATGGGACTGAATGCTACCAAGTGCTGAGACTGTGCCACTCTAACACACACAAACCCTCCTTGCACACCCTCCTAGCATGTATTTCTTTACAAGTAGAGATGAATATCTGAATCTTCTCAATTCACCGTTTGTGACACACTGCAATTGCACAGATCGTTTCCATACACACTCTTGCACCAGCAAATACCGTCTTTTACTATAACCTTTACAGTATCTGGATTCTCTTATCAATAAAATGTTAAAACTTCACTGTCGCTTACAAATACTGTCCAGAATGACAAAGTTTAAAAAACAAAATAAAATAACAGCTATGATTCAATTCAACATAAACAAGAAAATAATCATTCAATCTCAAATACATGAGCTATGTACAACTTTCAACGCAGACAGCAAATATATTCAGTTTATGAATACAAAGGTAACTGCACAGACACAGATTTATTGGCAACTGAAAAAAGATAACAGTACATAATAATCTTTAAAAATAATAAAGAAATAAATTAACCAATAAGAAAGACATGAAAAGAAAAAGAAAAAAATACTGTTGGCTGAATTTTCTTCTAGGATCAGTGAGTTTAAATGTATTATGCTATCTATAATAACAGTCTTTACAGCAGTCAGGTTGGTGAGGCTCACAGCTAAACTCAACACCCTGAAAAATAAACCCTTGTAGTTACCAACACACAGACATACCAATAATGTACGTTCCACTCTCAGGTGAGCCATATATTTCATGCCCATTACCACCTTCTGGTTCTCTACCTGTGCCTCAAGTAATAGACTTTGACGGCAGGTGTTCAGTAACATTGCCACAGATGCAAACACAACAGTGGTATAACTGAACAAACTCCCAGCCTTTCCTAAGTACGCATCCTGACATAACAGATCCCTCTATCCCCTTTACCAAACTTTCTGATTCTGGCATCTTCTCAGATGATAAACAAAAGAAAAATTGACAGAAAAACAAAATAATAACAAATTCTGTTTGGAATGCAAAATATAGATTCTTAAAAAAAAAAAAAAAAAACAGTACTAATACATGTCTCATACATGAATGAATGAATGAATACATAAAAGAAAAAAAGAAAAAAAAAAAAAAAAAAATCTTACTTCTGTGTCCCATGGATAGTTGTCTTCGCCAGGCTGGTCTAGCTATCCAAGAGTGCTCCTAACAGCCCCTGCTCAGTCTCGTCACACCACTGTAAAAGGTTGCTCTTTACACCTCTACACAGTATTGCCGCAGGAGAGAGTTACACCCTGGATTCTGCCTTTTATTTTTCCCTTTCTATATTTCATCCTCATCATTGTCATTAACATAACTTTATGATTAACATAAACATTAACATCATTTTAGATATTAAAATTATTGTATTATCATTATCATTGTTATCATCAGCCTGCATGATACTACCCCTAAGATGTAATGACAATAAGATTTTTTTTTCTTTCTTTCTTTCTTTCTTTCTCTTTTACACTGTTCACTTATGTAAAATACTATGATTCTGTAATGCTTTCATAATTCTTCATTCCATCAGCTTCTATATAAGCAGTTGTACACTAATCCCCTCCTTTATTCTCTCTGCTGAAGGAGACCAGAGGGACTTTAGCCTGGAATCTCTTTGATCGGCCAAAAAAGAAAAGGAGTCGCCCGTGTTCTTTGCCTCAACTTTCACAAGCTCAACCTAAAAACACTTCCATTCGCTTTGATCAATCTATGAAGCTCGAGAATCAAAACCAGACCAGGAAATTCGCCAACAATAAAACAATGCACTCTGTGATCCCTCTACTGAAAGCGCCACGCCATCCTTACTCTAAGAGTATGCCAAGACTCAGAGACTCCGCATAAAATGTTTGTTCCTCACACTAGCACACTCACTTGGGTTTCTATACACCTTCAAGCTCACTGGAGACCACATCTTGGTTCAACATATACAAGGTTTAACATGTTATCTATTCTAGCTTATCTTTTCCTCTTTTTTTTTTTTTTTTTATCATCAGTAAGAAAAATAAAATATCCTGCAGGAAACATGACTAAAAAAAGAAAGAAAGAAAAAAGTAGACAAAATAAATAAAATAAGAAATACACAAATCATAAAATAATAATTATAAAAATCAGAAAATAATGCATAACTCTACAACACAAACACGCACACATCGGCACTCACTTCCACTCACTCACACTCGTAAAATCTCAAGACACTTGTTGTAGCAGATAGCAATCCAGTCGGGCTGCGTCGCCCCCCACTGGATCTGGTTGATCTCCCCCTCCGCTGCTGTGTATGCCAGGATTGGGTCTTCAATGGCGCGCGGCATTTGCTGCACGTCCCATATCAGTGCCTGGTGGTCATCCCCTGCGGGCGGGAAGAAGGGGATATCAGTCAAGACTTGTTATCTATTTTACTCTATTAGTATAACAGAACATCAACTGTGGTCTATAAACCTTCAGAACACCAATTCTTACATCTTAAAAAGCACTCATCTATCAACTATGAATAAAATCTTTGAACTAGATTTACTTAATCTATTGAATAGCATTAACATTTCCAGCAAGGGCCACAAGGCAACTCTCAGGCCCTTGAGGCCCTTCTCAAAAGGCAAAGGACAAACCATACAGTCCCTGAAAATCTCAAGCAGAAACCAACTTCCGCAACCTCTAATACTTGCCTGCCGTACAGATGTGGACCGAGGAATGTGGTGCCCAGGCGATGCCATTCACACATGCCCGGTGGTTATTGAGCCGTGCCACTGGGGTGCAAGGAACACGCACATCCAGAATTATCACCTGAGAAACAGTGGCTGACTTTAGAATAAAATGGAAAAAGGAACCACAACTCTTTCACAAATCCTAATGAATAATATCAATACACTCTCACAGATTGTTTCCAATTTCCTTAAAGCTGAAACTTTCAAACTTGAAATCAAGTCACACGAATCAACTGTAGACACACAGGAGACAGAGACGTTCACAATCTCACCATCACACCCTTTCCTATTCTTATAATGGACTTGATTTTCATTATGAGCCATGCATGACAGAAACCAAAATCTAAACTTATCATTAGCTCTAATAAGAACACTTCGCCTATTCTGATCTCACCTCACAAGCATCCATAGCAACTGTTGCCAGGTAGTTAGGGTCCTGCTTGTTCCAGGCCAGACGGAGCAGGGGTGTGTGCGCGGGGTCCTCGTAGATGATTGTCGAGTGCTCAAGGTGCCGAAGGTCGAACATTCTGACCGATCCGTCTGCCCCTGAGATGGAAAATGGGTTTGTCTGCTTATCTTTTTGGTTTGATCTCTCTATCTTAATCTCTTGAACCCTTACTGACGGATGAAGATGATGATGAAGAGGAAGAGGAAGAGGAAGAAGGAGAAGGAGAAGGAGAAGAAAAAGAGAAGAGAAGAGAAGAGAAGAGAAGAGAAGAGAAGAGAAGAGAAAAGAAAAGAAAAGAAAAGAAAAGAAAAGAAAAGAAAAGAAATGAAGAGAAGAGAAGAGAAGAGAAGAGAAGAGAAGAGAAGAGAAGAGAAGAGAAGAGAAGAGAAGAGAAAAGAAAAGAAAAGAAAAGAAAAGAAAAGAAAAGAAAAGAAAAGAAAAGAAAAGAAAAGAAGAGAAGAGAAGAGAAGAGAAGAGAAGAGAAGAGAAAAGAAAAGAAAAGAAAAGAAAAGAAAAAGAAGAAAAGAAAAAGAAGAAAAGAAAAAAATAAAATAAAAAAAAAATAAAAAAAATTACACTGGAGATTACTGGCAACTTGAGCACAGGAGTGTGCTACATCAAGCTGAATGCCCGGCTCATAGCGCTCTGGCATGTTGCCACAGCATACATCCGCACTCCACAGATTGAGCGGTTTGTTATGACACCGGAAGGCATGCCCGTCAGTATGGCGTTATTCAATCAATCAGTCAGTCAGTTAGTCAATCAATCAATCACACTCACTCACTCTCACTCTCTCTCTCTGTTGCATCTCAGTAATATCAGTGATTATTTAAATTATCAATACCATCATTATAACACATTTTGCAAAAATTATGACTCGGTTCCCAAGGAAACCTTTTTACAATCAGTATTATCTGCAACCTCAGTTGTCTCAAACCAAAGATAAATTGCATCAAGAAGCTATTCAATAAACTTCACAGACGACTCTTATGTCTCAGAATAAAACTTCAGCCAATGCCTCCAGGCCAGACAACAGGCAAAAAGGCCAAAACTCAGAAGTGCACTTAAACATGGCGGTGCATGCCGTGTATGGCTAATGCGAGCTTGTTGTCGCGTCTGATAATGATGACTTGGCATGCATGTCCCTGGTGAGATGGCCATTTTCACCCTGTCGTGACATACATGCTCCCCTGCCATGACATGCTCCTAGAGGCCAACAGGCACTGGCCGGATTGCCAAACAGACCAAAAGTGGATTCTGTGCAGTGCCATTCACCAGACCCCCCCCCTCCACCCACACCTCTAAAACGCCTGCCCGACTCACCCACGGAGGCAAACATGTCCCTGCCGCCACCGGCCCTGGAGAAGGCGATGTCAAAGACCTCCTTGTCGTGGGCAATGAGCTGGGTCTTGACATGACCCGACACCACATTGACTCGCCCCAGCATCTGGCCGGTCTCCAGGCCCCAGATGGTGCAGGTGGTGTCGATGGAGGACGTGCCTATCAGGTTGGGCTCCACCTCATTCCAGTCGAAGGAGGTCAGGGGGGCACAGAAATCAGAGTTCTTGTTCTGCAACAAATCACACAAAGCGTTAACCTCACTTGTAAAAAAACTATGTATATCTACATGCATACATACATAAATATATACATGCATTTCTCTGTATGTGTATATACACACTTATTTACACATATATGTGTATACATACATACATATATACACACAAGCACACTTGCGTGCACACACACACACACACACACACACACACACACACACACACACACACACACACACACACACACACACACACACACACACACACACACACGTATGTGTATAAGCACGTAAACATGTATATACAAGTATATATGTATATGTATATGTATTTGAATACGTATATATATATATATATATATATATATATATATATATATATATATATATATATATATATATATATATATATATATATATATATATATATATATATATATATATATATACATAGATATATAGATATATAGATATACAGATATACAGATATACATACATATACACATACACATATACACATACACATATACACATACACATATACATATACAGATATATATACATACATATATACATACATATATATAAATATATCATATTTATACTATATATTACATATATATATATATATATATATATATATATATATATATATATACATACGTAGGTATGTACATAAGCATCCTTCCTTTTATAATATAGTTATGCAACTTCAATATTGCACACACTGATGCTACTGTACTTAATAAACCACTTACATTGTTGAGCAAGCAAGCCATTCTGGTGTCTCCATCTGCGCCTTGCTGCCACACACGCAAGTAGTCACCACTTGTGGCTAACAGGTCTGGATATATTCCTTTCTGTACAGTAGAAAGAAGTAGAAATGCCTTAATAATTCACTGAATTAGATTGCAATCTGATAACCCTTAATAAAAGACTGACTAGAAAGGTTTCACGCTTTAACTGGTTGTTGTTGGGGTGGCATGAACACGCATGGCACAGCCTCTGTGGCATACGGATGCACAACGGCCTCGCCACTAAATAGTCAGTTGCTCATCTTGCCTATTGCACCTGTTTATCCTTTTCCTTGGAGAGGCTGCACAACGGCCTCGCCACTAAATAGTCAGTTACTCATCTTGCCTATTGCACTTGTTTATCCTTTTCCTTGGATCTAGAAAGATTTTTAATTTTTTTCATTGCTATCAGTATCTTAATAACATTATAATATAACATTAATAATAATAATAATAGCAATAGCATTGCAATACCCCCCCCCCTCAAATTTAAAGAATAGGGAAATAAAGTGGAATCCCACCTACATACTGCAACTGTGAGCTATTTAACCCATTCGCTCCATGTGGCAAGAATACATGCCATGCCCACTGTAATACATGTTTATTTGTTGTTTTTACACATAGATGGCTCTACTAGCTCTTAATCACCAAATAGCCAGTTATCAGAACTACCTATCTCACCTGTTTACCCTTTTCCTTCACTTTAGGAAAGGGTCTTTTGTATCATTTCATTGTCTAAAATATTTTCATGACAATTTAATAATCACAACATCCATAATAATAATAACAGTATCGATAGCAATGGTATTAATAAGAAAAACACATTTTCCCGCCAATTCAAGGAATGGGAAAATCAGGATCGGTAATTATGGCCTACTGATAGACTCCTTGCCAGCTGAGCATATATGAAGCCATCTGCATGTAACAAAATTCACCCAAAGCTACAGGGGACAGAACATAAATCTGGGGCAAATGGGTTAAAGATGTTTTGGGCCTGAGCACAGGTGTCTAGAGTGCTTGATGGCTTGTGTGATTCCAACTCTGCTCTTTGAGATGTACCAAATGGTATGAAAAGTTGTGCATATACAGTCTTCCAAAGTTAGGTGGAAACTCTCAAGTGCAGAATGACTATATTTTCAACAACTCATTTGTCTGGACCTCCATCGATGCTACAGGTTAACCCGATCACTACGGATTTATGTACTGTTCCACATGTGCTCAGCCACCAAGGAGTCTATCAGTAGGCCCTAGTGATTGCTCTTGATTCTCCCATTTCCTTGAAATTGGGGGAAAATTTGATTTTCTTTCTAATGCTATTAATATTGATACTGTTATTATTCTTACTGATATCAACCTCCCAATTCTAAAGAAAGAGAGAGAGAGAGAGAGAGAGAGAGAGAGAGAGAGAGAGAGAGAGAGAGAGAGAGAGAGAGAGAGAGAGAGAGACAGAAAGAATGAAAAAAGAGAAAAATAAAAGAAAAAACTAGCACTTACACTATCTGGGATCCACATGATCTTTGTGGTTGGATAAGGGTGGTCGAAGGTGGACCGAACCACAAACTCTGACGTATCTTCATCCAGCTGAACAATCTGGACTTTGTTGTTGTACTCTTCGACAAAACTCCCAACTGCCAACCTGGAAAATATAAATGCAAACATTTATATATATGTGAGAGAGAGAGCTAGGAAGAGGGAGAGGGAGAGGGGAGATAGATAAATAGAGAGAGATAGAGCAAGGAGGGAGGGAGGGGGGAGGGGAGAGAGAGAGAGAGTATGGTGTTAACTTGGATGACACGACTGTGAATAGAAGGGAGGTCTAACTCTTTCCTCCTGACAAGAACTTTAGCAGTTACTGGGCATCAAAGTATAGTTCTCATGGCCTTATTCTGTAAAACTTCCAGGGGTTTGAGGGCACTCAGTGGCAGCATACTAAGAACTGGGCTTGCATAGTCTATCATGGACCCAACAAGGGAGATATACATCAACCTTAGGACTCTCAGGGAGGTACCTACATATGTTACTTATGTATTGCAATGGTCTTAAACACTCAAGGCAACGTTCCTTGTTTTCAACAATATCCTTGGTAAAGCGTGAGTTGTGGGACATGAGGTGGGGAGCAGCCACCATAACACCAAGATATTTGTAGGTGTCAGTTCTTGCAATAATTTGTCCACCTAACCCTGGAATGTAAGGTAATTTACGAGATCTGGAAATATGCTTAGTTTTAATTGGATTGATTATGAGACCAAGGGAGGCACACTTTTTGCTAACCTCTGTAGAACATAATCCCCCCTACCATATACCTGAATAAGAATGTCATCAGCATAGGATGTGATGCTGCATAGGTTTCCTAACTCACTGTTGAGCTTGCAAAGAGAATGCATAAGTATATTACACAGTGAAGGGGACAATACTCCCTATTGTGGAGTGCCTAATTCCAATTTGCCATCAGCACTGTAGGTGCCTTGATACCACACTTTTCTCAAAGATAGATAATCCTTTATCCATAGCAAAAGCTTGCCCTTAACTCATAAAAGAGATAGTTCATGGAGGATTGCAGTAGGGGAGGCTCAGTTGAATGCTCCCTTAAAGTCTATGAAGTAAGAAGATTATGCATTACGTCCATTTAGGTACTGTGCTAGACACATTTGTGTCCCTCTCCCTTTTTGAAAGCCAAAGACAGATGGATGGATCATGTCTTTGATCTGGTGGAGTGAACGAGTAAGGAGGATTCTTTGACAGGTTTTAGACAGGCAGGACTACAGAGAAATTGGTCTATATTGAGAGAGAGAGAGAGAGAGAGAGAGAGAATAGGCATTGCTCTTACCTGAATCTTTTGTCTGGCCGGACTGACCAGTTCATACTGTAGAGAGTCCATGGGGCCGAGTACTTGTAGATCTCCTTCCTCTTTGGGGGCGGGTGCACCGACATCTTCCCTCAGGTACTCTGGCTCGCCGCAATCGCCACTGGGGACAGGAAAGCGCCAAGTAAGAGAGAGAGTTTCAGCAGCCTCGGTTTCCTTGCTCGAACATAGAATAGAATGGAGTTCCATTTTTCTATTTTTCATTTCTATCATCCACGATTATCTATCTTTATAAATCTTGGCCCTATTAGGAATGACTTAAGATAATTGGTAAATGTTATTCTAAGCATGATTAAGGATCTTGGAGAAAAATTATATGCAAGTTTAATCAGAAAGTTTTTTTTTTTTTTGCTTGCTTGCTTAGGTGGCTTTATTGGGGCAGAGAGAATCAAGTAATGACTGATGTAATAACAGCCAACCACATGAGGTTACAGAAATCATATAAATATACATATAAATATATATATATATATATATATATATATATATATATATATATATATATATATATAAATATAGAATATATATATATATATATATATACATATATAGACATATTTACATATAATAATACACTAAAAGATGCACCATAAACTATTCTCCCACCCTGCCAAAATCTATGTCAATCAGTCAAGACTATTTCCTACTTATCAACAAAACACTGAAAACTTCTATAGCATCAAGAGGCACTGAGGAAAGGTTGGTACGCGTGCACACAGCACAACCTATGAGCAAACAAGAACAAAATCTCATAGTTTACATTACATTTCATCTGCCTCCCCTGCCCCCAACCCTGATTTCCAATGGGTTCCCTTAAACCACGGGAGAGGGGGGGAGGGGGGAGAACCTTAGATACCTGAAATTTGCACAAAACAGCAGATTTGTTCTAACAACATTTAACTATATTAGGATTTTTTTAACCCGACTGTAAAGCTCATGTCATCACAGACCAAAAAGTGTTTTCTCACTGGTATGATTGTATGACACTGTAGCAGCATGACCCCGCAACCTGAAGCTCACCATACTTCCCCAGGTTGGGTCATGCTATGTCCGCCGCTGCTGTCGGCGCTCATTGGCCAGCAGGCTCCCCTCGTTCCATGCGCGCTTACACAACGCTCGCCTACTTAAGCCACAGAGCCACAAGTGAGATCAGCAATCCCTTGATCCTCCAGCAGAACAAAGACTACAGCAGCAGCACCCAAGGACTGCCAAGTCCTTAACCGACTGGGGAGCCAGCCAGCTTCCCCGTAGATCTCCAACTCCAGTCTCCATCACCCAGCCATACCCGTGGGCACTCATACCCACAGAGTCACTCCATAAAGAGATAAGACACCAGACAACATAGTAGATGTTACATAACCCTTTACTATAACACTAAGGCTTCCTTGTGCAAGTTCAAGGCAATTCAAATTAACATAAGACAGCCTCACTTATTTTTGTGTTTTTATCCTCTCACCCTTCAATCTTGGGGGACCCATGGGGAACCAGGTGAAGATGGGGGGAGGGGAGACAACCGTTCCTAAACCCCCTACCAGGCACAAGCCCCTGGACCCATTCCCTGGGGCACTTCCCTACCAGCAGCAAGCCCTGAGCCCCCTGGCCCAGGGGCATTTCCTTATCTGGGGTAAGCCAATTGACCCCCTCGCCCCTGGGCATTTCCCTACCAGGGGCAAGATATCCTGGGTTTAAAATTTGACTCGCCAAGACTGAAATGGACAAAACACATGGAAAACATCAAAAACAAAAGCCGTAATGAAATTCTGTAACATCTACGTAAAACCAAAAATAGAATATGGCCTGGAAATATACGGAACATAAAAAAAAATAAATAAATAACGTTAGAAATGACGTAAAACAAGGTTCTGAGAATATCAACAGGATGCTTCAACCCACTCCAATAATATCACTCCAAGCACTAACAAACAAACCTTCAATAAGCGACAGAGCAAATGAATTAGCTTTCATACAGCAAGTAAAATTATTGGATAAACCAAAGAACATGCCACTAAAAGAACCAATAGTAAAAAACATTAGAGAATACAATTACAACAAAGATAAAAACTCCTGTACTTATAAAGTCAATGAAACACAAAAAGATTAAAATCAACATAAATATTAATGAAACTCAAAATATAACTTCAATACCACCATGATATGATCTTTCACACAAACTAGTAACAGTTTATTGACAACTTCAAAAAAGACTTGCCTTATGGAATAATTAAGACGCAGTTCCAAAGGTTAATAAACACAGAATATGCAAACCATCATAAAATATTCACATATGGATCAAAAATAGAGGAACCACAATCAAAGTCAGCAACAATTTATATAGGAAAAAAATAACAACTCACAACAGTTTGGAAATTACTAAAAATACACTCAAATCATAAAAGCAGGATTATATGCAATAAAAAAAGGGTTGAATAATATAACGTATAACCAACTAATAAACACAGTAATCTTCACAGACTCACACTCAGCAATAGTAGCACTAAAAAAATCCCAAACCCAATAACTATAAACAAATCACATATGAAACCCAAAAACTAATTTACACTTAAACAAAACAAAAAAATATCACAATACAATGGATCCCAGCACATAAAAGCATAACTGGAAATGAAATAGTAAATCTTGCAGCAAAGAAACTCATGAATTATAAAATTCCATAACCAGCACCCAAGATACTAACACAATAATAAAAGACAAAAAAGACAAAATCAAAAGACAAAGGGAAGAAAAGCTACAAAAAACCCTGACCACAAAAACCTATTACCTCAAGGATTGCACCTCACAACCATGGTCCTGATCACAAAACAGAAAATTAGACATATGCGTTACAAGAATACTAACTAAACATACAAAACTGAAAAAAACAAAAAAAAACAACTACACAGATTAAATTTGGAATTTGAACCAAACTACAGATGGTGCCAACATCTAGAAGAAACAATAGAGCACTTAACACTACAATGCCCAAGATTCCACTCTGACAGAACCAAATTAACTTTCGTTAGAACCGTCACAGAGCAAACACCTATCCCAATGAATCACAAACTGAAGTTAAGTGTTTAGCGAACACAAGGAAGATAAACTCACCCTTGATGAACTAGAAGATAGCCCTGGTGCATATAAACCAATGAACTACGAAACTCTAAGCAACAAAAGACGCAAAAGCGGTGAAAGCGATAACGAAGTAATTCCGACCTGGCGAGGAATAACACTGAACCCAGCAATTGAGTAAGTTCAAACCAGAATGTAATACTTATACAATTAATAGGAGAATCGTTAAACTCCAACTTTAACCCAATTCAACTAACAAATGCAATAAATAATTCAGAATTCCACAAATATATTATAGAAGATTCCCTAAGAGTACTAGGCATTGGGAAGGCAATCTGATTAGAAATTAATGCTATAAAATAAGTGAGACCCCTAAAAGAAATAAAAGAAATTTGGACAAAATTTTCTGCAAATAACCAACATCAAGTATAAACATAGATTGTCCATATGGAATCACATAGCCAGTTGAAATAGACCTGGACATGAGAACAATCAATGAAAGAATAAGAACACTAAGCCAGATCTCACATATTCAAGAAATAATAAGAATAAATAAAAACAATCAAGAAAAAGATAAGGCAGAAAAATGGACCCCAACAAAATCTCCAAGAATTACATTTAAAGGACCACTACCAGAAAGGGTAGCGATTGGACAAAACTCATACCAAGTAAAACAATACACCTTCCCAATACCTAAATGCTAACATTGCCTCGGATATGCACATGGGATTCTTACTTGTAAAAACAAAAAATAATGAAGTAGATGCAGTAGTTTTGAGTATAATTTTAAAGATTGTAGTAACAACCCATTTTGTTTATTCTGTGAAGGAAATCATACACCAAACAGTAACTTATTCAAAGTACATAACAAAGCACAAGAAATCAATAAATACAATTTTACACCATACAACCTAGATATCAAAAAACAACTAAAACCCATTACAGAACAAATAAAAAAATAATACAAATAATTAAGCATATGCAAAACCAAAAGAAATCACTAAAGTAACTAAAGAAACTTCACAGGTTAACATAAACCGTGAAAGTGTTAGCCACTCCCAAAAAACATCACAAAGTTATGCACAAGCACACAACATTACACCAGGACAAAAAACACCCCCAAGACAAAGAACCCAAAACACAGTAAAGTTAAAAGTTACACCAGAAACAAACACGCAAACAAATCACAAAAAGAGATAACAAAACCACAAAACACAAACAAACAAAAACAAACAAACCCAGAACAGTCCCCAATAACACGGACATTACCCACACCCATTACTGACTCTCCCCATCTATACCCACTACCCACAGCCCTTACACACCCACATCACTCATACCAATCAGCCTTACCTAATACCCACAATCAAAAGCAAAAGATAAATGAAAAAAATAAAGAAGAAAACTTAACATGAGTGATTACCACAAAAAATATAATAAAGGCAGTATCAAACCTCATGAGCAATATAAACTCGGGGAAATCAATTTTAAAAATAATTATGGAAACAATAAATTATTTTACCCTAATTTTTAAAACAAATAATGATATTAATAAATGAATAAATCAATAACTTGGAATGCACATTCAATACAAAACAAAAAACCTGATTTGAATTATTTAATATTCAAAGAAAACCCGGGACTCATTGCCATAAGCGAAACTTGGCTAAAAAATAAAGAAAACTTTAAATACATAATTACGAAATAATTAGGAAAGACAGAGAAAACCAAATTGGAAGAGATGTAATGACATGTATAAGGAAAGATATACTGTTTAGGAAATTGGATCTAAATAACAGATATAAACATAAACTTGAGATCCTAGCAATAAAAATACAATTTAGAGAAAAATGGATAAATACCACATTAACATACAATCCTTGTAACAATATATCTAAAGAAGACCTTCAATATTACTCAGATCAAACACAAGAGCCAAAGTTAATATTTGGTGACTTTAATGCACAACATCCCATTTGGAACCCAGATACAAACAAGCAGAGTAACATAACAGGAAATAACTTAGTCAAACTGATGAATCAAAATAATGTAATATTGTTCACGCCAAAAGGACAAACAACCTGCATAGACCCAAAAACAAGCCGTGAACCCACCCTAGACCTCGCTATAGGCTCACCCTCGGTAAGTCATCTAACAATAACAACAGGCCCACTTCTAAACAGTGACCATCTGCCAATTATGATAAAAGATGATAATTATCAAATCTCATCAAAAATGTCTGAAAAAAAAGGAAATTCACAGCAGAAGGCTGGTCTGCCTATGAACCAGAGCTCAATTGAACAAATATAAATATAAATTCACTAGAAGGACTAATGAAACTAATAAAAGACACAGGAGAAAAGCATTTCAAATTCAACGGTAAAAAAATAAACAACAAGCCTAATAAACCATGGTGGAATGAAAAATGTAAAGAAATAATAATAATAAAAAAAAATAAAGCATATAACAAATGGAGGAGAAAACCAAATACAGAAAATAGATTAAATTATAAGAAATTCGCAACAGAAGCTAAACAAATAATTGATAAAGAAAAAAAGGAATCATGGGAAAATTTTTGTGCCTCAATAAATTTCAAAAAAAAAAAAAAAAAAAAAAAAATTGAATTTTATTAAAAAAACAGACTGGTAAAATAACAGGTGAATATCCCCTAATCAATAATAACTTCCCAGCTATTCAGATATCAAAAAAACTAGAACTATTTAAAGAATACAAAAATATAACAAATAAACAAACAAAAAACTACCCACACAAATGGAAAAAGAACAACTACTAAGTAATAATAATAATAAAGAAGATATAAATAAAGATATAAAATCAGAAGAACTAATACATGTTGAAAAAAATACAAAAAATGGCAAAGCACATGGCCCTGATAGAATTACATACGATTTTATAAAAATGCACCTAAGAACATATTAGAAACGTTAAAAATCTTCAATAGATATTGGGAAAGAGGAGAATACCCATATGAAATTTAAAAAAACAATAATATATCCAATCCATAAACCAGGGAAAGACCCAATAAAAATAAACTCATACAGATTCATAAGCAGAACACCCTGTATTGGGGTGTTCTGCACCCCAATACATAACATACGTAAAAACAAAATGAATGAATGGAATGAACAGAATGACAAAACTGACATCACCAACCTGGGGAGCTAACAGAGAAACCTTAATGAAATCTTATAATATATACATAAAACCGATAATAGAATACAGAATTACAATATACGGTGCAACAAACCAAAACAGAATTTTAAAAAATAGAAAGCATCCAAAATAGCGCAACAAGAATAGCAACAGGATCCTTCAGATCAACACCAATAATAGCACTACAAGCAATGACAAATCAGATACCAATAGAAAAAAGGATAAAAGAATGAGAATGTATTCAATTCATTAGAAATTTAGAAAAACAAGGTAACATGCCAATTAAACATCTAACCATAAAGATCATTGATAATTTCAACCCAAATAAGGACAAAAAGACATTAGCATGCAGAGTAATCAAAACCTGCAAAATATGGAAAATAAACTTAAAAACTAACATAACTCCCAACATCTCCCCAATTCCTCTATAGTCTAACATCCAACAAAAAATAGGATCAAACTTCATGGACAGTATGAATAAAAATACGCCACACCAAATGATACAACAACACTTTCACCTACTTGAAAACACAACATGCCAAGATTATCACAAAATATACAGACGGTTCAAAAATAAAAGAACCAACATCAACATCAGCAGCAATATACATTCAAAACAAAAACATCACAATTTGGAAATGACAAAACCACACACAGATAATAGAAGCAGAACTCTTTGCAATTAAACAGGCACTAAACTACATAAACAACAATAAACTACAAAAAAATGTAATCCTAACAGACTCACAAACATCTATACAAGCAATAAGAAACAACAAACCAGTAAAATACAAACAAATAATATATGAAATACAATCCCAATTACACTTACTAGACACTAAAAAACAACATGTAAAACTAAAATGGATCCCTTCACATAAAAACATTAAAGTCAACGAAATAGCAGACAGAGCTGCAAAAAAAAGCACAAGATCCCATGGCCATGACTCAAAATTCAACCAATATGATAAGAGAAATAAAAAGGAAAAAACAAGAAAATTGGGTAACCAATTTAAATGAAATATTAAACACAAAAGACAACTACAATAAAGATTACAACCCAAAACCATGGGCAAGATCACAAAATAGGAAAATAGACATGAGCATAACAGCAATAATAACAAATATTACAAGACTTAAAAATCATTTACACAAATCAAAAATAGAGGCCAACCCAATGTGCCGATGGTGTATCAACCAAGAAGAAACACCAGAACATTAATCTTACAATGGCCAAGATTCAATTCACACAGAATTAATTTACTACAGTCACTAAACAAGATAAAAATACAAACTCCTGATTTGAATTTATTAATCACAGGTGCAGATCAACCACCCATAAAGAAGTATTACATTCTGAAACACACAAAAATCTTCCTACAAAGAACAAGAACAATCAACATTATATGAAACAGAGACCAAATTAATAACAGAAGCAAACCTTCAAACAGCAGAAAGAAGATCCAAAGAAACAAGATCCAGGGAATATAGACATAAGAAGTCTAAAACCCTATAAAAGAAAAAGAAGAAAAAGAACTTCTGAACTTTCATTTCACCACAACCAGTCGAGTCCCCACAGTATTGCAGACTTTCCTGATACCTATGAATACTTGTCTATAAATCTATGATATTTTCATGGATGTATATAGTGCGGCCATCTTAGTTAGAACTGCCAAGTTGAAAATAAAGAAGCTTTTCATTACAACATAACCACACCAGAGACTATGTCCCCAACTCTAGTCAATGATCTTGGGGATCACATAGGGATTCTTTTTTTTCTTTTCTTTTTTGGGGGGAGGGGTATGGCTAATTCTGCTCATAGTAAGCATTGTAAAAAGTAAAAGTGTAAAAATAAACAAAAACTCAAGCCAAAAACAGCATTTCATATAAATGGGAAAATGAGAAATAGAAAAACCTGAGTTAAGATTCGGCCATGGAAGATTTGACCCGGCATTGTGCAAACAAATGAGCAAATGAACCCCATCCTAATGCTCAAACTATCATAAAGATTCCCATTGAGACCTTCATAACTTAGGGGTTTTACCCCTGGACCCCTAGTAGGGGCTTCACCCTGATAGCCACCAACTTCACATTTTAATCCTCAATGAAAGCATCAGAAATCACTGACTCCGGTGACTTCAAGCACAAGCGTCAAGCCGTTTGGCCTGGGAGTCTGTTATGACTTCCTCCTCAACTCACTCTGGCGTGTCATGATGCCTATAGCTGTACCCTTCGTGAGGAGTCGGTTCATTATGACTGCTACGTGTTCTAAATTTGCGTGTACCTTAAGGCTGAGGTTTGGGGGGCTGGGAAGTGATGAATCTTTGGTGCATTTCTGCAGCTGGAAAACAGTTATTGTTTTCCCCTGAATTTAGTATTAGGCCTGAGATTGAAAGAATTTCAGGAGATTGCTTTCACCAGAATGTAGAGAGAGAAGTAGCACTGTAAACAAATTTCACTTTAGGAACGAGCAATGACGAAGAAATGTCAAATTTGCCAGTAGACGAATGCGCGTGTGCAAGTGTGAATGTGACAATTTCTAATTTTAATAAGATGTGCACAATTAATAATGCAGAACACATCAAAACTCTAAGGAATGGCGTCACGACAGTTCATACTAGGTTACCATGCAGCTAAATTGTTCACTGCAAGGTGAGGAAGGCTGGACGTAATCACTGAAAGCTCGGCCTTTGCAACGACCGATTTTCTTCATTTCCGACGTTATTCTTTGCCTGCACTAATATTGAATGTCAGCAATACACGGCAGTTCCCTTAGGGTTTTCCTGACTTCAAGTGGTTATTAGAGTCATATCCACCCTTTTGGCCGACGCACTTCCGCTTTGCCTGACGTGCCTTTCTTTGAAAAACACTTACATGAAGGCAAAATCCCTCCCTATAATTAACTTACCAGTCTGTTATTTTCCTTCTCTCTGGCTTTGGACCGACACCAATTCCGACCCAGAAGTCACGGCTGTCTTCCCCCCCTCCCCCCCACACCTGAACCAGCTCTTCGGGGAAAAATGATAATCAGGCCCCCTCCCCACTCCTCCTCTCCCCCCCATGCCCCAAGCCCCTCGGCCCCCTCGCCCTCGCCCAGCCAGGCCCCACTCCTCCTCTCCCCCCCATGCCCCAGCCCCCCGCCAGCCCCAGACCGAAGGCCTCGCCCGGCGCCGCCCTCGGGAGCAGGAACCCCGACGCACTCCCAATCCCTCCCTTCAAGAGCGGGATCGGGACTCGCGCCCTAATTGGCCCGTCCTCCTCGCCCCCCCCGGCCCCGTTTCGCCCCCGCCCCTCGACCTACCGCTCTCCTTGTCGCCCTCGCTCCGTGGCCCTCGGCGCTCCCCTCGGCGTGGCTCCCGACGGCAGGAGAAGAGTGGTCGGGTCGGGGTCGTCGAGCGCCTCCGTCCGCACGCAATGGCCGGCTGCTTGTTTATAGGCGCCAGGCCGGCCAACCCTTCCGGGGGGGGCGGGCTCTGGCTTCCTCTCAGGCTCTGGGGTTCTTTTTCGAGGGTTTAGGGGGCTTTGAGGAGATATATTTTTTTATATTTTTTTTATCTAGTGTGGTTGGTTTGGGGGGAGGAAGGGTTTAGCTCCCGGGGTCAAATCGGGTTTCCTTTTTTTAGGGGGTAATTAAATTCCTGTTGTTGATTATGATTTCACGTGTGTGTTTGTTTTTTTATTTTTTGAAGACATTTAGAAAAAAGTTATTGATATCGTTTCCTTGAAGTGTCTTTGTGCAGAGGCAGTCAAAGGAAAGTGACAGTGTGTTAGCAGGTTGGCATGCGTGGGTGGAGTGAGGCCCGGCCGCCTTGACATCCGCTAGTTAGCAGCGTAAAAGTTCTAAGGATCTCTAGCGCCTGAATCGTACCATGCAGTATTACAAACACAAGGAAACTAAAGAAAAAAAAAAGATTATATAGTGTATTAACTGAAATCCTTTTCAGTAATGATCGAAACCGAAAATAATGTAATTCATGAATGGACATCTGTGAATTCCAATTTCGCTAAGGTTAGCACAAGATCAATATATGCGGGACCTATTCTGATCTTCATAATTAATATCAGAGCGATATCACTACACAATCAGACTTATATTTTCCCCCTCACTGTGTTTATTTCGAGGATATATGTTGGTGATAGTGTTTTAAATTGGTTAGTTTCCCGCTGGACTTCATCAGAATTTCAAATTTCAACCGATAAATGCCACTCATTATTTTCAGTGTCATCATTATTATTATTCTCATTATTGTTGTCATTGTTGTAAATATTATTATTGCCATTAATATTATCATTATCATTGTTATTTTTATAAACATTATTATTATCATCATTATTAGCATTATCTTTATCATTTTTGTCATTATTGTTGTCATCGTAATGAACATTATCATTACCATTATTATCTTTATCACTCTTATTTTCATTAACATTATTATCATTATCATTATCTTTGTCATTATTGCTGTTATCATTATTATCGTCATCATTATCATTGATATAATTATTGGTAATGTCGTGATCACTATTTTTTTTTATAATTTCCATTAATGTTACCATTGTCATTAAATTAAGATTATTATTATCGTTATTACCATTCAGATTCTTATTGTTATTGTTATTATTATTATTATTATTATTATTATTATTATTATTATTATCCTTATTATTATTATCTTTATTGTTATTATTATTATTATTATTGTTATCATTATTAATGTCATTATTATAATCATTTTCTTCATTACTATTGTTTTGTTTCTATTATATTTATGTTATTCTATTTTCATATTTTATTTTTTCTTATTTCATTTTCATATTCTATTCTTTATTCTTTTTTCATAGTCTACTCTTCATTCTATTTTCATTTTCTACTCTTTATTATATTTTCACATGTCATTCTTTATTCAGTGTCTCGTGGCTGAAGGAGACCACAAGTAGCTTCAGGAGTGTCCTATTTTCCAGCTTTGCGAAGGCCAGTCAAGGACATCTGCTTCGTGGTGTACTATGGGCACGCGAGTTGATAGATCATATTGTATTTGCATCATTCAGCTGTGATTTTAGTGTGTTTTTTTCGATACGACTTGGGTACTCTGTCTTGAAGTTATATATGTATATCTATATATCTATCTATCTATCTGTCTGTCTGTCTGTCTGTCTGTCTGTCTGCCTCTCTCTCTCTCTCTCTCTCTCTCTCTCTCTCTCTCTCTCTCTCTCTCTCTCTCTCTATATATATATATATATATATATATATATATATATATATATATATGTATATATATATATATATATATATATATATATATATATATATATACATATATGTATATATATATATATATATATATATATATATATATATATATATATAGATATAGATATATATATATAGATATATATAGATATATATAGATATATATATATATATATATATATATATATATACATATATATATATATATATATATATATATATATATATATATATATATATATATACATATATGTATATATATATATATATATATATATATATATATATATATATATATATATATATATTCTTTTTTTGGATGTTTTATATCACCTGCTTCCAAAAATGCCAAGTTATTTGTAACCTGCATCTTACTCCATTGACTTCGTAGCGTCTCCGTTGGGCATCACAGTCCCGTTACTTCTGGCACACTTTCCCCTCTTCATGATCAGGACCTCACGCTTGCAGATTATGATGACTTCTGCAGAGACTGTGGGCACGCCTAACTGCCCTTCACTCTTGGCAAAGAGACTGAGATCACCCGTAAATAGGTGCTTGATGCTGCCGTTTCCAGGACCTAAATTACAAGGTTTTGTCCCATGCGATAGTAAAGTATGAGGTTTCATTACAAGTACAAATAACAAGGGCGACAGGCTGTTTCCCTGGAAGACCTATCTTCTGAGGTTCACCATTACCTGACGGTTGCCACCAGCTGGCGTCTCAGTACTCCCCTGCTTCATACTTTCCTTAACCAAACTTTTCACGTTTTCAGTAGCACCAAAAAGTTCCATGGTCTTATTTTTTCAACCAGCATCCTTACTTTTCATTTGGACCCGCGACCATTTACAATGAGCGTTTTCATTTTTTTTCTCTTATGCCAATTATCTTGTGGCTTTATCAATTTTCTTGTTAATTACAGGTCTCGAATCGCTTTAAATTCATGTTGCTATGCTGCCTCTTCATCATGCTTAACTGCCCCGCCTCACATACCACCAAAATGGATTGCTATCCTCAGCGTCCGCCATAACATCCCCCATTCATTCGTACAATAAACCATAGGCTTTGGAGCCGGGGGGTGAGGGGGGCACGCCCCCCCCCTTTTTGGCCCAGGGGGGCCAAGTGCAGTTAGCTAGTTACTACACACAGGTTCATCCACTAGCACGTCACTACAGCAGCAACAGGATTCAGTCCCAGACCTTTTGATCCCTTGTACATGCTATACCGGGTATTGAGATGGCCTTATGACATTTTGATAAGATACACCAGTCGAGACACTTAGCCAGTACTGTGGCTTGGAACCAAGCACCCATATACACATGCATGGCATTTGTTGTATGCTGTACCACCATGAGAGGACAAGGAGGTTTAAGTACCATAGCTCAGTGCGATTTGTTACACTGTCATTTAGAGACTAGCATCACCGACTATAATAAAACAAGTACAAATAGTTATATGTACATTTTATATTTTATATCTATATTCATATCTACATTTATGCTTATAATTATTATTTTTATATTTATTATATTTATAATGTTTATTATATTTATTATATTTATAATGTTTATTATATTTATTATATTAATTATGTAAACACACACACAAATACACATACACATACACACACACACACACACATATATATATATATATATATATATATATATATATATATATATATATATATATATATATATATATATATATATATACATTACATGTATATAAATATATACGTATATATATAAATATATACAAATATATGTATATGTATATATATATACACACACATGTATATATTTATACACACACACATACACATACACACACATACACACACACACACGCGCGCGCGCGCGCACACACACACATATATATATATATATACACACACACACATGCACATGTTTATGTGTATATATATGTATATACAATAATAATGATAATTGATGATATATATATATACATACACATGTATATATTTATACACATACACACACACGCACACGCGCGTGCACACACACACACACACACGCGCACATGCGCGTGCGCACAGACACACACACACACACACATACACACACACACACACACACACACACACACATATATATATATATATATATATATATATATATATATATATATATATATGTATATGCAATAAGAATGATAACTGATATAATATATATATATATATATATATATATATATATATATATATATATATATATATGTGTGTGTGTGTGTGTGTGTGTGTGTGTGTGTGTGTGTGTTGTGTGTGTGTGTGTGTGTGTGTGTGTGTGTGTGTGTGTGTGTGTGTTTGTGTGCGCAAATACACACACACATACATGTGCATACACACAGGTATACGCGCATGCACATACATACATGCACACGCACATACATAAACACATACGCACACACACATACACGCAAACACACATATACGCATACACACACAGGTATACGCACATGCACACACTCACACGCACACATACACACACACATACACAGATGCACACACGTACACAGACAGATCCGCACACGGACACATGCACATACATAAACATATATGTACACACATACACGCAAACACACACACACATATGCATACACACTTAGGTATACGCACATCCACACACGCACACACACATACAGACGCACACTGACAGATCCGTACACGCACACACACGCACATAGACACACGCACATACATACACACACACACATATACACACACGCGCGCGCACACGTACACACAGATCAGCACACGCACACACACGCATATGGACATACACACACACACGCACATACATAAACACATGCGTACACACATTTACACACACGCACACACACACACACGCACACGCACACACATACACAGACGCACACAGACAGATCCGCACACGCATACACACGCACAGGGACACACGTACATATATAAACACATACGCACACACCTACACGCAGGGGGAGGGGGACACCCCCTCCCACACCCACCCCCTCTCGGGCGCTTACGCGCCCTCGAATTGAATTCACTCGCAGAAGTGCGCCCCCCCACTTTCAAAATCGCTCCAAAGCCTATGCAATAAACTCCGTACATTAAATAACTGGATCTTATTTGATTGAAACAATTTATATTGCTTCAATCGTTTCTCACGACCCGTACATCTGCAGCTTAGG